CCCTGCTAGCTCCCTCAGCACCCTGGGGTGGAGAGCATCTGGACCTGCTGACTTGAACACGTCCAGCCCCTCCAGTAGCTCTCTAACCCGGTCCTCCTCAACCTTAGGTCTTGGGGCGTTCCCCTCGAGTCCGTCTCGAATCCCGGTGGGGGAGTCCCGGTCCCTGCACAAGAAAACGGAGGTGAAGAATTTGTGAAAGATGTCTGCCTTCTCTTCTGGCGCAACCACCAGATTGCCCAGCGCCTCTTGCAGGGGCCCCACATTTCCCGGTGCCTTCTTCATCCTCCCTATATATTTGAAAAAGGACTTTTAATTATCTTTGATCTTGGACGCTAGTCCTAGCTCTATATCTGCCTTAGCTTTCCTAACAGCCCCCCTACAGGCCCGAGCCGTGGAGGTAGATCACCTCCCAGCCTTCTCTTGCAGAGGCTGACGAGGTCCAGGTCCCTCAGTCTCTCCTCATAGGGCTTGGCCTGTAAGCCCCTGACATTACGAGCGGCCTCCTCTCAACCCTCTCGAGGCTGTCCACATCCTTCTTGAAGCGCGGTGCCCAGAACTGGAGGCAGTACTCCAGCTGCGGTCTGACCAATGCCACAGAGAGGGGAAGTATCACCTCCTCGGATCTATTTGTCATGCACCTGCTGATGCATGGTAATGTGCGGTTAGCTTTGCTGATGACTTCGTCACTCTGACGACTCACGTTCGTCTTGGATCCACTGCGACTCCGAGATCCCTTCGCACTGCTGTGCTGCAGGGAGGGTCACTGCCCAGCCAGGAGATGCGCTGGATATTTTTGCGCCCTAGGTGCAGCACTCTGCACTTGTCCGTGTTGTGCTGCATCCTATTGTGTCCTGCCCACTTATCCAACCTGTCCAGGTCTGCCTGCAGTCGCTCCCCACCCTCCGGAGCGTGCACTTCACCCCAATTTAGTATCGTCCGCAACCTTGGACAGAGCACACTTCACCCCCACATCCAAGTCACTGATGAAGACATTGAAGAGCACAGATACAAGGACCGAGCCCTGCGGGACCCCACTGCCCACGTCCTTCCAGGTCCATACTGACCCGTCTGCGTGCAACCCCCAAGCCAGTTTGCCACCCACCGGACCGTGTACACATCTAAGTCACAGCCTCTTCATGTATTTAGGAGAATGGGATGAGACACCGTATCGAAGGCCTTGCTGAAATCCAAGAAAACGACATCCCCCTCCACTCCTGCGTCTAAGCGTTTGTGACCCGGTCATGAAACGAAACCAGACTGGTCAGGCAGGATCCACCTGCTGCGAATCCATGCTGGTTGCCCCGCTGCATTATTTTTCCCCCTGGACTCCCACAAATGAGATCCTTAATGATCTTTTCAAAGACCTTTCCAAGGGTGCAGGTGAGACTGACTGGCCTATGATTACTCAGATCTTCTTTCCTACACTTCTTGAAAATAGGGACCGCACTGGCCCTTTTCCAGTCCTCTGGGACCTGACTCATGCACCACGAGCGCTCGAACAGCCGTGCCAGTGGTTCTGCTACGACACCGGCCAACTCCTTCAGTGCTCTTGGATGCAGCTCCCCCGGGCCTGCCGACCCGAACACGTCCAGTCCATCCACGTGACTCTGCACCACGTCAGCATCGACGGTTCTGGGCTGGAGTCCCTCTGATGCCCATCTAAGAGCCCCTTAGGAGACTTGTCATGACCCTTGTTCAGGAACACCGGGGCAAAACTTCATTGAAGAGGTCAGCCTTGTCCCCCCGGCTGTCACTAATTGCTCCCCCTTGTTAAGCAGGGCCCCAGGCTGCACCACGCCTTCCT